TTGTTACCGTTTTTTATTTCTTTATGGAGTGTCAATAAACCTTTTTTGGACCAAATTATAAAGTAACGAGTAGTTTTCATTGTTTCTTGATCAGTAATAATCACACCAACTTTGTTCATCGTAAGAAATAACTCCGACTCTTTATCTTAGATTCTTAGGTATGTTGGGCAATGCTTATAAGTTTAATGCCGAGCATGACTAACTTGATCTCATACAAATGGCCTATAAGTAAGTTAGCTGCCATTCACGATTCTGCCATCTTTATTACATGCCGTGTACTACAAAGCTCTCGGCGGTTTTCTAGTAACAATAAATATTCAAATCTGCAGCACTAGAAGACGAGACCCGATTCTCTCGATAAATATTCAAATCTGCAGCACTAGAAGACGAGGAACTGATTCTTCTCACACAAGACCTAGATCGAGCATTAGTTATCTCGAACAATGAAATGTTCGTTAGGCGCCGTGATATTTTATGCATTCTGTAGAATAAAAGACTACAGCTTCAAAAATGGTGAATGCTTTACCTGGATCGAGCAAGGTGATGGGCGCTAATGACACGCTAGATCAATCGGTCCTTTTAGTAAACTTTTATCGTCTATCAGTGGCAGGATTCAGCGGAGTTTCCTTGGCTCGCTCTCATATTTGAACAGCGTTAATGGTTAGTACATAGTAACGAACTTTATTCACAGTGAAAGATGTCGAAGAAAAAGATCATAAAGGGTATTCTATTTCTAGTGTCTGGCTCTGCATACGAAATTTTCTTAATTTCGGTTGAACGTCTTCAAAGTCCTCTGAGATCATTAAACATCAATCAAAAAGTTTTTGTCTATTCCAGGTAAGAATGTTCAGCGTTTACCATGAAGCTTGGTTATCGTTTTCATAGCGTACTTACTGCACTCTGCAACACGAAGGTATTAGTAAGATCTTACATTATCATTTTAACCCTAATCTCTAGTTTTGAAATGACTTTGAATCAAGATACATATTCAATTTTTCATAATAGAATGATTGTCGCTTATCAAATTTAAACGAAATACCAAGACTCAAAAGGGGGTTTATCGTTGTGAAAAATGTTACTTACCTTAGTAATGTCAGGTTGCTGGCATAATAACACCGGTAACATAGGAGACTTTATACCGAATTGGGACAGAAAATCCTGATCAACAAGAACGATTGTATAGTTTGTTAATGAAGAGGACTTTGTTCTAGCAGTTACTTATATGCCCAGCTCATTGGACCAGGAGGCAGGTGTTATAGATTAAAGTACAGTGGACATTGGTTCCGGTCGGGCTTGTTTACAGCTTATAAGTCATGTTTTGGGACCAAAGGTTATATGATCCCAAATTGATCTGTTATTGAGTTGGTACGTGCTTGGGTTAAATTGATATAAAAACGATATTTCTGATGGATTGTTTGATTAGCTATAAACACTCCACCAGAATGCACTAGGACTGAAACCGAGCTGGGTGAAAGTAACAACCAGTTCTTAGAATCTTTAGATACGAATCTTAAGTCTGGCTGATTAATCTGTTTGTATGCTGTTTGACTCGTTTATATACTGACTCTAAACAGCACAAATCGATAGTATAAAATATAATGGCATATAGAATTATTGTCAGGGGAGTCTCTGCTTCACTGTCGTGTTTTTATACCGTAAATCCAATAATATAGGACCACCTTGTATTACATTGATTGCGGAGGTGTGCTATCACAAAAATTCACACTGATTGAGATTCATTTCTCTCAGTTCTCGTGAGTCACTTAATAACCAGACGTGACGTCACTTAATACCAGGACGTGACGTCAATTCATACCAGACGTGACGTCACTTAACCAGACGTGACGCACTTATACCAGACGTGACGTCACTTTATTAAATACCACACAGGTTGGTTACCAGTGCAACCTGATGGACGATGCGTAGTAGAATGGGGCCTGGGCCTAAGTACCTTTAAAGTTAACCAACAAGCGAGTTTGCAGAGTCTAGATAACCTGGACAAGTCCTTATACTCTGCTTGGAAGTACAATGCAGGAAAGTATGGATCAACACACTTCGGCGAAACTCTAAAATACAAACTCGACTGGGAGCAAGCCTTCCTGGTCTAACTTCTCCATAACACCTCCCCCGATGATGCAGGAAAGATATGGCGTTTTCACCCTCACCAAAAGTGTGTATCAGGCTTGTGATACACTGTAACGAGGTGGAGTGTGCTCAACACGTGTGAAGTTAACATGCTGTACTCTGGGAGCTCTCAACAAAGGGAGCAGTGAAGTGACATGCACGTCTGGAGACGCTTTTACTTATCTAGCGGAGCCTATAGTCCAAACCAGGTAAGTTGTCCAAAACCAGGTGAGTTGTCCAAAACAGGTTAGTTGCCAAAACCAGGTTACAAGTTTTAGTATGATATCTTATGCTTGAGGTTAATAAGATGCTCGAAATTAAACTTCGTATTTTACATTTTGAATTTTTGAAGCAAACAAAAATTGGGTAGAGTCAAGAGTGGACCCGGGGGACATCGCATATGCACCCTTTTTTTACTCCTTCTACTTTTAGAGTGCAATATGAATTTTTTTTAATTTTAAAAATAAAATGATCTATGTTTCAGTGGTATTGGACAAGGCTGTGTTTCTGAACATATCGAACGCAGTACGGAACATTCCAGCCACTGTGGCTGGGGCTCGGTAAAAGCTCCAGTACAGAATGTCAGTTTGATGGACTTCACGGCGGTGTTTCACTTGCAAGATGAAGGAGGAACAGGAGTTATATGTGGAGGGGACTTACTATTGGCAAGAACACTAAAAATACGATAGTATAGAACAACTAGCCAAACGAAAAGTTTAGTATGACTCATGTCAGTTAAAAAGTTAACAAAAAGTTAAATATGTATCCATATACAACTAGCTTAAAACCATAGTTTAATTTTCCAATGTTTAAGTTGATGGCCGGTCATTAACTACATTTATCCTCAGACTGCCTCGATATGAAGATAAGACGGCACAGATCGGAGAAGTATGTCAAATAAAGAGGTAAGAACGGTATCGGTGACGGTGAGGCGGTGTCTAATGTTCTAAAATCCATCGTCAAAAGCGGGGAAATCTCCGAGGCAGTGGCCCAGAGCGTCCTAAACACCGTGTCTAACCTTGTGAAAGTCGACTTTAAAACGCTGATAACCGACACTGAACCAGTTCGCCAGCAAGATCTGTGACGGGTACATTGTTTTGATTTTTTTTTGTGAGGAATTTTCTACCATACTCAAAATTTTTCGACATCATACATTATTAATCTTTCTGAATTTATTTCATCATTTGTACATTAAAAAGAACACAAGCCACCTCACAAATCTAACCTATAAATAGATCGACCGATCAGTTTGGTGACTCAGACTGTTACGTTGTTAAGCAAACTGTTGTCAAGAACAAGATTTTCAAGTCTCCTCGCATAGCTGTGATCGATGTTAAGAAAGATGCAGTGCTGGTGAACCAGCAAGTAATGGAGTTGTCGCCCTCACCCTTTCTAAAGGAGTCGAGGTGGCAGGTCCAATAAAGGTTGCGAAGGAGGCTCTGGGATCCGGCGATGACGAAGGAGGAAACCACGTTCTATTTAGTCAGATTTATTCTATTAGTACTCGCATTAAACATTACCTAGATTTATACAGTAGTTATTAGTATTGCAATGCGTAATGTGATGAAATTTAAAACATCGTATCATTAAAATAATGTTACTATGAAATTTATTCAGATCGAGACAAAGACGGAGAAAAGATCGCAGATGAAAAAAAAGTTGGAAGGGGGGGGGCCCAATTTTTTTTTGGGATGTTTTTTTTAAAAGACTTAAAACATCGAATCAATATTACTTTGAGGCGATATAAGCGATGTCTTATCTGTGCACGTGTCACCGTCACATGTAATTTTAGTGCAATGTGTTAGGATTTCTTGATGAGACGATAAATATTAAAAAGCTTTTTGGTTTTTCTGGCTTGATAACTGATAAAGGCTCGGTTTTTTAAAAGACTTAAAACCTCGAATCAATATTACTTTGACGGACTATTACTCTATTATAAGCGATGTCATATCTGTGACGTGTCACCGTCACATGTAATTTTAGTGCAATGTGTTATGATTTCTTGATAAAACTCCGTTACAAATTGAACTGGTATCTGGCAATATATAATACTGCACCTAAGATCAATAAAATATGATAAAGTAATGTATAACTAGACTTAAGTAAAAGTCTGGGGGGGGGCCAACCATATTAAAGTATATTAAAGTATATCCCCGGGTCAAAATCGGAAAACATCCTACATTTTAATATACTTTAATATACCTACAATTAGTAGATTAGAAGATAAGCCAATTACTGGTCCCCTGAACTCATACTTCATATATTTTGGCTCATAAATTAGTCAAGTATCAATATCTTTGAACAAGACTAACTTTACATGAAAGGTAAATCTAATATATACATTAAATAAAACAAAATTTTTCACATAATTTTTTATAATGTAGGTATATTAAAGTATATTAAAGTATATTAAAGTATATCCCGGGTCAAAATTGGAAAAAAAACCTACATTTTAATATACTTTAATATACCTACAATTAGTAGATTAGAAGATAAGCCAGTTGCTAGTCCTCTGAACTCATAATTCATATATTTTGGCTCATAAATTGGTCAAGTATATGGTAAGTAACATGGATTCAAAATTTTAATGGAGAAAATGTAGGTATATTAAAGTATATTAAAGTACATTAAAGTATATTAAAGTATATTAAAGTATATTAAAGTATATTAAAGTATATTAAAGTATATCCCCGGGTCAAAATTGGAAAAAATCCTACATTTTAATATACTTTAATATGGTTGGCCCCCCCCCCCCCCCCCCCCCAAAGTCTAATAGAATATTCAATATAGAAAACAAAATACCAAATAGTCTACAGCTTGAAAGCTTAAAAATAAATATATCACTTTTAAAATACTGAATTTCTAACTTTTCAGGGCGAAACTAGGAATGCCTCAATTCCTGTCATCAAAAGCTCAGAGCTTGCTACGCGCAGTCTTCAAACGTAATCCCAACAACCGCTTAGGTGGGTTATGTTTATTTTCAAATCTCGTTAAACTTGATATAATAAATTGGAGTAATTTCTAGGTCTGCACGATTTGTATTTTTTTGATAAAATCATTTACATCATAATTCAAAAGTTCTGTCTGTCTGTCTGTCTGTCTGTCTGTCTGTCTGTCTGTCTGTCTGTCTGTCTGTCTGTCTGTCTGTCTGTCTGTCTGTCTGTCTGTCTGTCTGTCTGTCTGTCTGTCTGTCTGTCTGTCTGTCTGTCTGTCTGTCTGTCTGTCTGTCTAAACGACCGCGCATGTGCAAATTTGATGAGAAATAGGAAGTTGCATAGTAACCATGGTAACGGTGTTGAACAACAACGGTGCACAAGATTTCCGAGCGACATTTCACATTTTGATCGATTTTGTGGTAATTACGTTGGGTTTAGTGCGAGCAACATTTTAATCGGCTGTATCTTTGGTTCTTTGGTTGTGATGGATATTTATTGATGCGCGATAAAAACTTGCTATCAAAGAATACAATTAGCTTCCTCCCTGTGACCACGGGCTTTCTTGTTAAATAATAATATGATAACGAAAAAAACAACAAATAACACAATCTATTTTCAGGGAAGCCACCATTGGATTATATAGAAATAAAGAATCACGACTTTTTCGCCACCATTGATTTCGATGTGAGTACAGTAATTGATAAGCGATTTTTTTATGTTTAAGTTTAAAGGATGTTATCAAAAGATAGTCTAAACTTTGGAAATAAGGTTAACTAGCAATATTAACGCTGATCCAGGATCGCATTTTGATACAGACTTCCGCAGCCGTTACTATGACCAGCATTGGTTGCTCGTTAAATGTCATTTACTGGAACTAATTTTCCTTGCATGTGCGCATCAGACTATAATCTATACTATAATTTAAACTTGACGAAATTTCCCCGGCAACGGGGACATAGAAGAAAAAACACCGAAAATCGACCTCAAAATGACCCTCTGGTGATGCCAAACCCAGCTCGCAAATGGAGTTGAAACCTCGCCATTTTTAGCAGGGTTGTAGAAAAAGGATAGGAATAGGCTATAGCATTCTTAGAATTTTGATTTAGGCTTTAGATTTTTTATAATTAACGTCGGAAGTGAGGTAAAATAACCGTTAGAATAATGTCGTTATTTTAGCAAAGGTTTACTGCGCTGTTGCGTAGCAACGTTAAAATGCACGTGCGCGAGCAATAACATCTTAACTACGCGCGTTGTTATGCTGTATGCTACGACATAATTTCAAAACTAGCTCACATTTACGCTCACGCTATGACTTATATTCATAACTTTGGTTGTGATTGGTATTTTTTGATGCAGTAAAAAGTATCGTTTTGGGAATCCGAATACTAACAACGCTGTCGCCATTGTTAAATAAATTCCATTATGTCTACTGTATAACAGAGCTGTATGATGAAGAGAAATTAAAACATAACTGATTTTTAAAATTTCTCGAACAAAGCTTTCGACTAGCGGGTTTCTAGTCTACTATAATCTAATATCATCAGACTATAATCTACTATAATCTACTATCATCAGACTATAATCTACTATAATCTACTATGATCTACTATAATCTACTATAATCTCACGCCTCGTTATCTATCGTAAATTAATTGAGTGAGGCGAGCTGCGAGACGGAGAAGCCCGTTTTAAAGTCACTATATGTAATATGCAAAACAGCATCAAGGCGATTAAAACAGCAAATAACACAGTCGATTGGCTCAAACTCTGTTGATATCTCTTTTGGGAGATTTGAGGTCTCTCAACGTTACTTAGTTGAGTGTGTCCCACAACCAAGCACCATGCCTAGAAGTCCGGCTTTATGTATTATAATAATGATCCTGGACCTAAATGGCAAGTAGCTCTACAATCTACATCAACAACAACAAAAAGAAAAAAAACACAGTCGAGTGGCGATAACAATGATGACTCTTGAGTCTTGATACTCAAACTCATTCCACATAGAATGTTATCATTGAGCATAACTGAAACTTCCTAATTCACACGTAGACAGAAAATGTTAGTATCTTTTTGGCATTAACAGTACCACACCTTTGTATATATAATAATGAATAATTGTTGAATTTTGATTGAATTGAAATTTTGATTGAATTGGATTTAGATTTAATTTAGGTGCACTAAAGTTCGAAGTTTAATCATCACGTGATTTATGTGGCTTGGGCGCTCCCTAACATGTGATTCACACGTGGACAAAGAATTTTAATATCTTTTTGGCATTAACACACCTTTGTATATAATGAATAATTGTTGAATTTTGATCGAATTGAAATTTGATCGAATTGAAATTTGATCGAATTGAATTTTGATTGAATTGGATTTAGATTTAATTGAGGTGCACTAAAGTTATATGGAATAGTCACTTTGACCTCTGACTTCGTCCCAAACATAAGTAGTACGTATACCCAGCGCTAAATCTTGGACAAAGTTGTGCGTGTATATTTTAGAAAACCCGATAACGATCACACAATATGTAACCCCATTATTTAAAAAAGCTAAATGTGCTCAGACTCTTACCCCTACTACTAAAATTTAACTGTTCTCGCTCATGAATACTTTACAAAAATAAAAATAAATATACTCTACCAGATAATCTACCAGACACACTGAATGAATCAGGGCTTTTGCTTAGTTGTGCAATGTGCACTGAGGGCCAGTGCAATGTGCACTGAGAGCCAGTGCAGTGTGCACTGAGAGCCAGTGCAATGTGCACTGAGGGCCAGTGCAATGTGCACTGAGAGCCAGTGCAATGTGCACTGAGGGCTGGTGCATAAATCTTGAAAATTAAACCAGGGGCTCTCAAGGGAAATCGTTGAAATGGAGTAGTTGCGTTAAATACCTCTCAGCTCGCTAGGGTATCCGATTTAAAAGTGAGATTAAATCCGTTTAATCCGTTTAATAAATTTATAATTAAGTCGAGATGCAGCCTCTCTCTTAAACTAGTAGTATTAACAAGGAACCTGGAACCAGTGGTATTTAAAGTGGTGTTTACAAGTAGTATTAAAGAGGAAGCGATTAATCACTGCTTCCTGATTCCAGGGATACATTTTTTATCGAAGTATTTTTTATTTAAGCTTAAATGTCGTTGTCACCAGCTGTCACAGTCTTTGGCAACATGCCCACGTCAGCAAACGGAAGATGTAAACTTTAAATTAACTGAAGCAATCAACTGAACTCAGAACTGAGTTCAGCTGTTCCGTTATTTATATTATACCGTGCGTTACAAAACTTGCTGAGAGCCAGTGCAATGTGCACTGAGAGCCAGTGCAATGTGCACTGAGGGCCGGTGTATAAATCTTGAAAATTAAACCAGGGGCTCTCAAGGGAAATCGGTGAAATGGAGTAGTTGCGTTAAATACCTCGCAGCTCGTTAGGGTCTCCGATTTAAAAGGGAGTTGTTAACTTCTGCTATTGTAGAGCATTTTAAACACACATTTTGATAGAAGTATTTAAGCTTTAACGTCGTTGTCACCAGCTGTCACAGCCTACTTTGGCAACATGCCCACGTCAGCAAACGGAAGATATAAACTTTGAATTAACTGAAGCAATCAACTGAACTCAGAACTGAGTTCAGCTGTTCCGTTATTTATTTTATACCGTGCGTTACAAATCCCCTGTTCACGCAACTGATCTATTAGACGGCTTGGAGCTGGACGTTTAGTCGTTTAAACATGGCAAATGAAAGCGATATTTTACTCCAAAATTCTAATATAACCCTGACATTTTAAATGGACCTCGCCCATTTGACGCTCGTAATAAAAGGTAAGCTCGAGTGCGGTGCAGTGGCGACTTAAATAATAGTGTGTTTTTAAACACACTATTATTTAAAAATAATAATTTCAGTTAGATCAAGGAATTGACCTAAATCGGAACTGAGTTAGAGAAAGTTAGAGGTCAGCTCTTATATTATACTGCAGCTACCAGCTACATCGCGCGTTAGGTACCATTAACGCGTTACCAGATAAATTGCAACAATCTATTTAACATGGACCAGAAAAGATGGCTATTTCAATAAAAGGGTGGTGGTTGAGTATTGAACTTGAAGCACTCGTGACCACCAACCAAAAGACTGCCTTTAGTGGCCAATAGACCACCTAGCGCGAAAGGAGGTTTATTGCAAATATCGTTCCATCCGTCTGCAAATAGTTGATTGACTCGCTGTGACCTCTCATTCGACCGTTCGATCGTTTAGACAACACGGACACCAATGTTACCAATATGCGTATTTAATATTTACCAAAACCCATAATCATGGGTAGAGTGGACCGCTGCCAGTGTCTCTCTTTCCCAAACAAAATAAAAGGAAATGATATTAATTTGATTGACCGTTCTCAAATGCAAAATGATACCGAGAATGAAATCGGTCGCTCGCTTTTCCCATTCATTCACGGCTTACGAATTGTATAAATAAGTTTCGATTGATTACATCAATCAGATGCTGTAAAAATCTCTTTGGGTTGCGTTCGGGTCGATACCTAGTATTTCGGGATAAGGGACAAGGGTGGTAGTTATAACTTATTGAATAAGCTGAAGTTTATTGAATCTTTATTGCCGAGTACAGCTGCCTTTGGGCAGTTCTTCTTAAAGTTAATCTATTACAATTGTAAATGGATGGGAAAAGCGAGCGACCGATTTCATTCTCGGTATCATTTTGCATTTGAGAACGGTCAATCAAATTAATATCATTTCCTTTTGTTTGGGAAAGAGAGACACTGGCAGCGGTCCACTCTACCCATGATTATGGGTTTTGGTAAAATATCATCTCTTTTTGATTATAATGTCAGGGTACTTTATAAAGTCGAAATATAAACTGATATCTTCATTAATAAGGAGGAAGTTTCAACGATTTCGAAATTTTTCCTTTAAAAACATTTCCTTGTGTTTAGGGAAGCATATCGGTCGATCACTGACTGAATAGTGAATATGCCACTTAATACTCATTCAAGTTGGCATTAAATTCATATATAATGACATTAAACTGTCGTGGCAAAGCAAAATTTGTGTTTGAAATCACGAATGAGCAAAATTCTCACCTTTCGCACGTGCAAACTTTGAGCGGATGTTGCGTGCGCATCCAATATTGAATCGCCGTAAATTTTTGCATGATGGTGTTTTATATATAGTTTGATAAGCATGCAAAGTTTCAAAGTATTTCAAGAAGAACTGTAATCACAACGGCACTCTAAAGTTGACAGAAAATGACGAAAACAGCAATTTTCAGTGATTTTAGCAATTTTCTATCAATTTGGGCGTGTCCCCACGTGTGCAACTTTTCGATTTTCAACTTTAAAACTAGCCTAATGCACAATTTATACCTATAAAAAGCAGAACTGAGCTCCACAACCCAAGGCATGGCCCAACACCAGAGAATACTAAATCGCAAAATTGACGTTTTTATAAAATAATTCTTCAAAAAAGCACAAACTTCAATGACGAATATCTTTATGAAGGAGCAAGCTAAAAAAACTTTCCGGTAGATTTTCAGAATGCTTGAACAATTATCTAAGATGCAAATTTCCTCAGATTTTGAATAAAATTACTCCTTAATGGTGTAAAATTAATTTTTAAAGTTATTACTTTGTTAAAAATCAAGTTTTAAAAACGGACAACTTGATGACGTCATCAAGGGGTGTTTATGACGTCAAATAATTTTTTATACAATGTAAACTAAAGTGTAAACAATTATTTGCAAGACCTGTGGTCGGAAATGGCTGTATCTTTTATACTTTTGAATCTATGGACACTTAAATACAGGTTACAATTGACTGGCAAAGCGTCTATCCCTGAATATGTATGTATATATATATCACGACAATCTATCGTAAAACAGGGGTTCTAGAAAACCCACTTCCCGATGCTCCTGAAACCTGTAACTTTTTTTGCAGTCGATTTGGTCAACGTCTAGACGCCCTGAAAAATTTCAGATCTCTAATTCAATTTTAACATGGTTTTTAAGGCACCTGAATATGGCGATTTTGGGTTTTTTACCGAATTTCGTATAACAGTGCTGGCGAGTATTTTATGCAAATTTCTTAAAAATCTCAACATAACTATTTTTTATTCCTGTCATCTTTGACATCAAATTAGAATGTTTTGAACTAAAAATAAATCTGCTGAACGACTTCCGATGAGTCTTAATGCCTGAAAAACTCCTGCCGGAGGCGGTGGCCTTCGGCCGCCGCCTCCGGCCGGAGTGCACGCTTCGCGTGCACGAAAGAGGCTTGTAACGTGTACCAAAGGGGGTATAATAGTAAAGGGGGTACATAGTATACCCACAATAAATGCAACGGTCGTGCTTGCCAGCACTGTGACAGCTATAGCTCTAATACTGGGGAATAATTTGTAGTAAAGGTTGTGATATTAATTCCATACTTGCAACAGCAGACAGAAGCATACTGACGTCAAACCATAAACTCGCATTATACTGGCTTACCCTTTAAAAACTGCGGCTAGCATATCGCTTCTAGAACATTCAGGGGCTTCTTTTAGTTGTATATCACCTAGATTTAAACAATAGTTCAGAGTTCAAATATAATTTATAAAATACATAATTATCTGTTTATTAATCAATTCCCTTCAGAGACTAGAACAAAAGGCGTTGAAACCTCCCTTCCGACCTACAATCGGTACGAACGAACTGCATTACTTTGACACTGAGTTCACTGATAAGGTACCTAGTGATTCCCCTTCCGCTCCAGTCAGCGCTGCATCTCATCAGGTGAGAAATCGACTTAATTTAGATTAAAGGTATAAATCAGTTAGATTGATTTACTTTTTATATAAATTGTTTTAACAATCGAATTCCAGTCTCTTTTTTGATACTGACATATTTATTCTTCAGATATTCAAAGGATTCAGCTACTGCGCTGCCAATCCTACAAAAGAAGATAAGACAGAGGATATAGATATTCACAACATGAAGAAAATTCCCTTTACTAAAAGTACCCCAATATCTGAGGAGTATGAAGTGTTAGATGTTACACTGGGCTACGGATCTTTCTCTCAGGTGATATTGAGTTATTTGTTAATTACTAAACTTTACAGGAGAGGGGAGAGCATAGTTGGTCAGTACGCACTGTACGAACTTTTAAAAGGTGCCGAACTGTACGAATTTTAAAAAGCTGTCGAGGAATTTTTACCGAATTTTAAACCACTTACCACCGACCGATTTGAAAAACCTTGATCATTTGGCTTCGTCAGAGTTTTGTCGGCACTATTTGGGCACTATACAGACAGACAGACACTAGACAGACACACACACACACACACACATCTATTGAGATTATTAGTATAGATTGGTTATAATATACTGGATTCGTTCGTCAATAGCAGCGATTATATTTATATAGAGCACATAGTTTTCCCAGCCCAAAACATTTCCAAGTTCAGTGATGTTCAGTCTTGGGATGTAGTGAACAGTGTTACTTGTCACGGAGGGAGGCATTCTTGCATTGGTAAATTTCATTAATGGAGCGACCCCTGATGTACAGTGGTATAAAAGTCAGTCTCAAACTGATGCCGACTATTTGGAGTATAAAATAAAATGAAATCTCGGTTATGTAATTCTCGTTATATAGCACCACGCAGGAGAAAATATCGCGTCTAGACCATCGTAAGCTTGACGCAGTTAAACTAATGGCAAGAATATACCCTCTCACAGGTTGAGATGTACCGGGAGTGGGAATACTATATGTAATTATAATCTGCTTTACAAAGTTGTCGATCTCTTTTAAATTGCACGTTCATCTATAAAAGTTCAGCACTGAATTTTCTACTTTTCTATGGAACGGTTGTTTTAGAAACAGCTTTTCAATTCAATTAAATAACTTTAAAATCTGGTTTATAAAATGCAATCGTTTAATGAGTGCTGTAGCATCAATCCTGATCTCTATGATATATTAGTAGTAATATCGCAAAGAAATCCAATTAAAATCAATGATATTGCGTTGAAAATGAAAATTATTTCCCGATCCATGACTCAAAGTGCACAAAAGAGTCAAGGACAAGGGTTAACGAACGAGGTTTTTTTTTGTATATGGTAGCTTTCGTCCGTGCCTGCGAGCGTGCCTGCGAGCGAGCGTACGTGTCGCCCACGTGTCTGCCTGCGCAAAGTTATTTTGCGCGAAAATCTGAATTAAGGGGGGGGGGGTTCACCCTGATTTTTTTGTGAAACTTGGTTTCGAGATAGCAGTTGTTGACCAACAAACTAAGACCAGTGACCGAACTTTTGAGGGGGTCCCGGACCCCAACCGCCAAACGGTGCCCAAAATCCAGATTTTAGGTGCTCTACTTGTAGCTAGTGGTTCCCTGAACTCGTTTATGAATTTTCATCAAGATTGGACAAAAAATGACTGAGTTATGAGCAAAAAACCATATGACCATATTTGGGCATACGCACCAAATTTGATCGATTTTGGCCCATAAATTGGTCAAATATCAATATTTTTGAATGAAACCAACTTTATATGGAAGGTAAGCCTATACTACACATTATCTATGATTATCAGCTCAGTATCTACCTAATTGCGGATTCTATGTTCAAAAAAAATTTGGCGGCCAAATTCCAAAATTTGCACTGCTAAATTTAGAATTTGGCCGCAAAATTTTTTTAAAGGCCTAACTCAAAATTCTGTCCCAAAACTTAAGGTCATGAGACAATTCTACGTTGATTCTGAAAATTTCATGAAAAAATATTGAAACCCTATTGAGTTCTATTGTTTTGAGCGAAGTCAGTTTTGCAAATATCGCGAACTGAGATATGGGCAATTTTGTTCATTTTTTGCGATTATTTGAACATAGAATCTACAATTAGGTAGATACTGAACTGATAATCATAGATAATGTGTAGTATAGGCTTACCTTCCATATATAGTTGGTTTCATTCAAAAATATTGATATTTGACCAATTTTTGGGCCAAAATCGATCAAATTTGGTGCGTATGCCCAAATATGGTCATATGGTTTTTTGCTCATAACTCAGTCATTTTTTGTCCAATCTTGATGAAAATTCATATACGAGTTCAGGGAACCACTAGCTACAAGTAGAGCACCTAAAATCTGGACTGTGGGCATGTTCAGGGTATTTGGCTAAATTGGCTGCCCCGCGGGCACCGTTTGTCGGTTGGGGTCCGGGACCCCCTCAAAAGTTTGGTCACTGGTCCTAGTTTGTTGGTCAACTACTATCTCGAAACCAAGTTTCACAAAAAAATCAGGGTGAACCCCCCCCCCCCCCCCCCCTTAAACAATTGTTGGCGCGCGGTGCTGAAATGTTCAAGTACGTACATTGTTAATTTCACCATGTACGCATCCCGCTAGGGACTAATTGATAGCATACTCATAGTATTATTATTTTGAGTTAGTATTACAATTTTGCAAAGATCCGTGTCAGGTTGCATAAACAATAATGGTTACATAGAAATATACACGATTTCCAAATTAAATATGGAATTATATCAACTGGGCGGCGCTCGGCCTGTCACTCCGCCGTATCTGCATGGTTATAAACAGCAAAGACTGGGGTCCCCAGGTGGTATGGAATATGATCAAATACTCAAACACGGATCGGGAAATTGAGCGGCCTTTCACAAAAGAAAAGCGGCTGCATTTCTTGTTTTTAGTGGTCGCTTTCTTTGAACAAAATTCTTAATGATTTTAAACCATAAAATAAATCTTGACTCATATCTGATTTCGTGATAATGGTACTGGTAGATAAAGAGTATTTTAACCTCGCTAAAAGCACCGGTTGTTTGAAAAGGTACTTATCTATCAAAGGCCTGACATCTGAGTTAATTTAAAGATTTAAGTTCTTTCGATTAAATCCAAGTTCGAAAATTTATGAGGCGAATTTTTCTCGAACTAATCCCGAACTGAAAAAAGGTGCCGAACTGTACGAATTTTTTACGACTTTTGTATGAACTGACCAACTATGGGGGAGAGGCACTACAATTTTTTGCTATATTATAGTTTAACATTGGAATTACCTTCAGTTAAAAATGTTCAATGACAAAGATTTCATATTTTAAAAGAGTGCCCTTCTAAATTGTAAATGTAGTGAGTAGTCTCTAACCCTCCAACTCACAGGTTCAACAGTGTAGACACATAAAGTCAGGAGTGGACTACGCGGTCAAGATAATAGACAAGTTTAAGTACGATCCTGAAGAAGAAGTGCAGATCCTGTTGCGATACTCCACTCACCCCAACATTATCAGTTATAAAGACGTATTCGATGATGGCAGGAAGGTGGGGAATTTGAGAACATTTTCGGGGTATTTTTAGTAGTGAAGGATAAGTTTACTTTTACAATTCAAAATTCAACAATTTTAAGATTCAACTTTCAAGTACCTCAATTTAGCAAAGCACTCATACAAATCATTGCTTACAGACCAAATTTGTTATACTGTTTCTTGAGAAATAACCTGAAAAATGACTGCAGGTATGGATAGTTCTAGAGCTTATGCAGGGAGGGGAACTGTTGGACCAGATAGTAGACGCACATGCTTTCAGTGAGCGTGAAGCTGCGGAGATCATGTACAGTGTGGTTAAAACTGTCAACTTTCTTCACCAAGAGGGGGTCTGTAAAAGTTTAATCTTGTTAATCTTTTAAAACACGAGGTCGTGATCATGATTAGTCACTGAATTTTCACCGAAGTATTATTAATAAGTATGTTGTACTTGTATGGCTCAACAAAAGGAAAAATAGTAAGATTCTATAACTATAACCCAATGAATTGCAGGTAGCTCACAGAGATTTGAAGCCCAGTAACATAATGTACTGTGACAAGTCATACAAACCTACCTCTCTCCGGATCGTTGATTTCGGGTTCGCCAAGGAGCTGAGATCAGAAAACGGCCTACTGATGACCCCCTGCTATACCGCTAACTTTGTAGCCCCAGAGGTCCGTGGTTAGGTTATTTGAAGCCAGTTTAATTAAAAGGGCTGTTATTAGTAAATATTTACTATTGTCTGTCATCTGATTCTGTTAGTGAGACCTGTTGTCCTACAGTTTAACTAATCATTTGACTGGGACAATCCTTGTTACAACCGTTCCACTTCAGGTATTGAAGCAGCAAGGTTATGATGCTGCCATTGACATTTGGAGTTTGGGAGTCCTTCTTTACACTATGTTGTCTGGGTAAGAATATACACTGCTGAATATTAGTAATGTTCAGTTATATTATTACTGGTATTATATAATTATAGGTAATATCTATAATATCACGAAAATCTGTCGTTAAACAGGTTCCAGGGGCGGGTTCCAGAAGACCTATACTCCTGAAACTTTAAAACACTTTTTAGCAGTCGATTTGGTCTAGACGCTATGCAAAATTTCAGATCTCTGACCTAATTTCAACATGGTTTTTAAACACCTGAATATGGCAATTTTGGAGTTTTTTTTTTACCGAATTTACGCTGGCGTATTTTATGCAAATATCTTTAAAATCTCCACATAGCTATTTATTATTCCTGTCATCTTTAACATTGAATTAGAATATTTTGAAACTAAAAAATTAACCTGTTGAACCACTTCTGATGAGCCTAAATGAAAGAAATAATAGTAAAGAGGTATAATGGCTGACGGTCTTGCTTGCCAGCACTGTCATGTCCAGATAGGAAGATCACTTATGAGGCGTTGTGATGTTTCTGATGAAATTTCTGATAATTCCGTATATGTTGAAGTACTAAAACTTTTAATACTTTCAACACTACTACATAACAAATAATTTAAGAACATGTATATGCAACGTTTAGTTGCACAATTTTCTTTACCTGAAAACAGAATTTACCCTATGTCGCATACGGAATTATCAGAAATTGTCATCATATCATATCAGTGTTAGGTTATGAGTAGGTGTTACAGCTATTAAACTCTTTCGTAAATTGGTGGATATTTGAACTATTTTCCCTAGAGTAACCAGATGTTAACTTTCCAACTTGAACAACTTAATCGTATAATATGTTGAGGAGAGATTTTGATATCGTCTACAATCGTGTTACTTTCAGGCATACTCCATTCGCATTGTCAGACACAGACAGTCCGGAGACAATTCTAGAACGAATAGGAAAGGGAGAGTTTGACATGACCGGCCGTCTTTGGGAGTCAATATCCAGCAACGCAAAGGAGCTTATCAAACTCATGCTGGATGTAGATCCTAGGTAGGATCTTAATGATTGAGTTTCATCGTTTTTTTCCAAATTTGTGGTAAATTTCAGACAACGTATATAAATTGTAATTCATTCTGTAGTATGAAATTCAATTTCGTATTAACTATAATTTCCTATTATCTTATAATATTATAAGGCGTCGGATCACTGCTCAGAAATATATCACACTCGTGGATAGCTAAACGTGACAAACTTCACCTTCAAAATTGCGAGAACGGGAAAGAAACTCCATCAAGGATAGCCATTGCCAGATTTTTTTTATTTTTAAAAACGTAATTCTTTCATCACATTTCACCTGGACTTGGGGGACTGGTCCGTATTTTAAACTCTGTTATGACGCGAACCAATTCACCTTACCTCAAAATAAAGACTGTTGTTTCAGAAAATGGTTGAAGCTACCTTCTCAGCCCTAAACATCTCCACTCCGGTCGAGTTGGCTCCAGTCCAATCTTCCTTCCTAGCCCGCCGTCGCAAGCAGAAAAACCTGTAGCCTAAAACCGACAGTATATGTACGTGATCTGATGTGTGACAGACTAGCGACGAAGTACATTTTGTTCAGTCATCGTGATCTTAAACCGGGGTATTATTAATGACTTGAATGTAAAATATTTATATCTACAAGTAAAGGCCCGCAACACTCAATACTGGTCATGCGCGGCGCTTCCATTGGTTCCCGCGGAGGAAATCTCCCGTGACTTGGTCTTTGGAACGTTGGACTCAGATTAACCTCTATAAGCTCTGATATTCCTCCTGAACGAGTCAGTCCTAACGATTCTGTTGAAGTCTCCGTGTTGGTATCTCTTGCTGGTCCTTCACAGTGTACGGTTTTTCGTTTGGTTTAAGTTTGTTGGCTGATTCTATTGCTATATAAATACATGGGCCGGTCTGAAAGACATCTCCCCATTCATTACGATATCATTAATTTAAGTTTATAGGTATGAGCCGATTAATATACATCATTATATATATCATCAAATTATTTATACAGAATTTATTTTTATTATCTGACTGCCTAGTAACTCATTAATCCTGTACATAACCTATACAGTGAAAACTACCGATATCAAGAACATCACAATTATTTGATTCTTCGTGTTACGCGAATTATTTAAGGATTTGTTTTATGAAAAATTGTCACGCTTTATCCACCTTTTTGTCGTACATTATGGACCTTTTTATAGACGACTCCTATTTGAGTTATTTTCCCCTGTAATGAGTAAGATAAGGGCCGCAACAAAAAAAAATTTTTAAAATCATTTTGGCGCTCCCAGTTTTGGTTCGTCTCAAAAAGGGCCGATGAGGTATTTTGTTAACTTAAACTGTAATATTGATGAAATTGTAATTTTTACGACACTTTGTTAATAATGATATCACGTTCATTTTCTATGAAATTATTTATCACAATCACTAACAACTTAATTATTTAGCTATGGTATTTAGTTACTAAATACCATTTGAGCTGTCCAGATTATCCTAACTTCTTGGATACCCTTATTTAACGTATGGTCTCTTCACTGTGATTCTCAGTTACTTTTTCTGTAAACTCCATCTCCTTTATTAGCCCCAGTTTTGAGTGCTAGTGGACAGGGTGCTTCAAACAATCCGAATTGGTTTACCCTTCACTCCTGTCGGCTTCATAAAGCTAGGAGTTTTATATTTTGTATGTTTTGAACGCTGAATTTGGTTTTCGTTTTAATTTCCAGGCTTGCCGTCCCAATTTTTCACTTGCTGCCTTACTGTTATACATTATTATAGAGCGTGCGTATATTCTTGACTTGAATTATGAAAGGCTATCTTGGTACTAATCTAGGAGACAGTAAATATTATGCTAATGTATTATGTCACTGTAATATTAATGATGATCACGTTGTCATTGTATTAATCCTTCCTGTGTCTCTTAAATGATTTCATTCCCTATTTCTCGAGAACCGTTTGTCGTCTAGATAAGAAAATCTTGTATCCGAATTTCTGAAAATTAAATTAGGAATTTGCAAATTGTTGGAACAAACTATATATTAAAGTCACTATTGTGCAGTTTTTTCAGGAACTTTTTTGTGCCCTTTAAAGCTCGCATACGAATTCCACAGGCTAAGAAATTTTTTAAGGACATTTAAAACACAAAATTCTTATCGCTGAACATCACCTTTCAATTTTATGCATAAATAATGCGAAATTGGACCACCCAAGGATGCAAAAGTACATCCCTATGGCAGCAAATGTTTTCCAGAGAAATTTTCTAAATCTAAATGGTTTTGCTAGATATAAGTGATTGGAGTCTTTAGAGACATGGGAAGCATATGGATGGGTGTATTGGTGCGGTAATCCGTGGGTAGGCGATGCAATTTAGTTACACCACAGTTATCGGTTTATTAAACTTTTACTGCCACGTGCCTTGTCTGTCCACGGTTTGCTGCACCCGTTATTTTATTGTTCTGATAGAGCTGGCTTATTGAAGTCCTCGTCTGACCGAGGATTTATTTTTAGATGTAAATACAATAATTTTATTCTTATGAAAATCACGAGTTTTAATTTTCTGTGTTTTAATCACTAAGAATGAACAACTCTGTTATAAGCGTCCAATCAATATATCCAAAACCCTTTACTCCAGCGTACTTAACATTTCATCGCAATGATGTGTTAATAGAATTAATATAAGGCGCACAAGCACCTTATTGTATTCAACTAAGTTGGCCAGCTGCGGTTATTTGGCATCATGCCTATAACTCATCACCTCTCCAATATTATTGAATCCTAATTCTAAAAAAGCAAATCTGAATCAAATACATGCACATTGTACCTAACTTATGGCAAATCACTTAGGCGGCTTGATCGTGCCGGACCCCTAGTTTCATAATAAATGGCTTTTCGGCTACACAAGTTTCCTGTAAGCGATAAAAGATCCTTCATATATTACGTAGCCAGCTTAATAAGGGGGTTTAGAAACGATTGCACTTGTGTCATTTGCAAACCGTAGCTTGTGTCTTCCAAGGAGGGGAGGAGTGTGAAAATGCCAGAAACTAAAATCTGGCCTATTTCATAAATGAACAATTGGAACACAACAGCTCATCAACACATATTACATATGCAGTTTAAGTATAACTGTTACACACATTGCTCTATACATAATGAATTTTATAGTATAAAAATCTGCAGGTCCCATCATTTACATAGATCCATCGTAGTCAAATCTCATGATCCACTTGGTGTATGTAATATCACAGCACACAGCATTTCATCTGTTGTACCAAGCCGGTGAATTTTGTTCTAGCACATATTCTTATCAGAAATAACACGGTTATTCTTAGAAATGAAACTTTGCCAATACCATTGGCGTATATAGTATACTGTAAATAAAAATTAGCCTAAATTAGGTCACGAAAACCATCTGTGTGCACTTATAACCGTCAAGCCGGCAAAATTTTAGAAATTCGCGTGCGCGTGATCACACTAACTGCGAGCCATAACAAAGTGTATACAACTAATCCATTGGGACTTCGCGGCAGCTGTAAATGACATAGATGTTCCACAAACACTATGTCTTTTGACTTTTGAGTATTTGCCATGAAACGGACATACGCTATAGTTCCTGCCAATTAAACTGGCACCTGAAATGAGAACAGAGGAACTGTGCGGAATTAACAAAACTTAGTCGGCATGCGAGACCATATTGGCAGGCCGCCATGATGCAGTTGGTTCGACCATGCAGTTTCGCTATGGAAACTCGCGAGCATTAATAGGTCTTTAGTTACGAAGTTGCAACGAAGCAATGTTTACGGTGCCCTTTGTGACGTCCAATTTCCAAGGAACAATCGGATCACACTATTAGAGGGCGGCATTTTTCGTGACCATCTTCCTGAATTTTCTTAAAGTCGAACCAGCCTATTTAATGTCGTTGCATGACTATACGAGAAAAAGCATTGCTATTTGTAGCAAATAAACATGCATGCTCACTGCTTAAAGTTAGTACTTCAAGAACATGCATACTGAGAGTTGGCGTCATGCCATACTTTGTAAAGTCCACAACGGTCGTTGATAATTTAGCAAGTTTTAAACCAATAAATCAACAGTTGGACTGCTTCAGTAGATTCAAGTTACTAGGTAGCTTTACTCTACCCGCATACCAAAAGGTATTTCCAGGGTGTTTTCGGAATCCTTACAAAATTTAAATGCGAAATTCCGAATCGTTCCGTTTTTTTAGGTCGTTTCAGATTATATTGAGTTAGAACGATGATTTAATGTAAAGAAAGCGTGTTATTTCACGAAATATCAGATCATTCTACATTCTCACTGGACCACGACTATAACGCTTTCAGGCATAACGAAACTCACCGCTTTATTCTAGACGTTCTTAACAATTTAGATGTTCTCTTGACATTCTCTGTCTTAAAATTTAAAAATGCGGTTCCTCTTATAAGTTACCCAATAAAAGGGGTGTACGTTAACTTGGATTTAATTCTGCTTCTTAGGTTTTGCGGAATCAAAGCCTTGTTGGCGTAACTAAACCTTACTGTGTCTGAATCCTAAACTGATAGTTAACATACCTTCAAGTTCGTATGAAGTAGATATGAAGCCGAGTTGATGCTGTTTTCTCCTTATTTGTGGTGATTGTGAGAGACTGTAACCACCCCGTAATCTGGAGTGGGTCGGTTCCTCGTCTGCAATATTATAATCAGTTAGTTTAGTAAATTAATCTAGCTGGGTTTGTGTAAAAACAGTCCGTTTTACCTTATAGGGAATAATGAAGATGTAAAACATGTAATGATGAAACGTATTTACAGTGTTTTTATTGTCTGGAATATAATTGAGTTATGGAGTAAAATAGTACACGTCAAGACAATTCAAAAACCTGAATCGAGTCCGGAGTCACTGTTATTCCTGAGCGGGGTGGCCAAGTCCGAGTGAGTCCGGGGGACTCGGTTCTGGTTTGGTGGCCCGTTTTTTGTGCAGATCCAGTTCCCCCTTTTCTTGGGTTGTGGCGTTTTTGTCCACAGAGCTCGTCGGAGTCCTGTTTCTCGTACCACACGTGGTTCTGAGTCCGTTGAGAGGACTGATACTAGTCGGGTGTTCGTGAAGAAGTTATCTTGGCTGAAAGATAGGAGGAATGATGAGTATCGTGCGAGGGTCATCTTATTTCATGAATTAGTAATACATTTGGCATTAAGTATTGGTTTCTGGTTTTAACGAGGGCCCACTAGACTTAAAAATTAGAGCTATAATTTCATAACACCCACGTGGTACACATTTATAAAACAACCATAGTTTTGAAAGGTACGTAAAAAACATTTGGAACCGCAAGCTCGAGTCGCGGATAAAACTGACTTGTTTTAAATTTTTACGCTTAATACGTACGTGTCATTTGAAAATGCGGTATATTTCCCTGTTGTTATTCCAATATTCCTGTTATCGTGCATCTAGATGTGGTCCGGTGCCGACTAGTTTGGTCCAGATTACAGATCATCATGTGTACATACCGTCTAAAAAACTCGCTCTAATGCTGAACGTCACGCTGCATGATTTTAGACATGTGAAGAATGTGAAGAATGAATGATTAACTATGGGAATTACATCTAATTCTTTGTAATTTTGGCCATGTTTCTGAGAAATTCGGATAAGGTTGTCCAATTTGATTTATATAATATGCTCCACAACCAGATAATCTGGCGGAGAGAGGATGGGTCTATTCTCTAATCTAAATTCTAATAGTGATCGAGACAAAAGGTAGCTGTCAAGCAAAAAACTATTTAAATTCAATAATGTAAGACTTGGTCATTACATTATGCCAAGTACTTGTTCATATTCATCCTTGGGATTTTTCGTTTTCACTTCTAGCATGGGTTCTGGATATTTGGATGGTGGCCCCAAAGTAAGCGCTATCATGGGCTAATCGCATCGACCTCATTTTTATTTTGACGCTGTTTTCATTTTGAAGAAATCAATTTTATAAACCGTAATTTCTTCAAAATGAGGTTTTCTCGAAACGGTAGTCCGCAAATGCCATATGTTGGGTCTAATATGTATTTTTATTTTACCAAATGACGAAGGACAACCATATATAAGATTTGAAGATCAGTCAATATTTCGTGACACTCCTCATAATCACCTCGGCTTTATATTAGGGTTCACAACTTAATACTTGTAGTCTAGACCCAGCTAGCGGTAGTAACGCGTCACGTAATCGATTAAGCAGCGGAAGTTTTGCTTTTGAAGTTATCAGTCGCAATTCCAATATCTTTCACCTCTCGTATGCAAAAATATTAGTACTCAGGTCTGTCGTCTGCGAATTCTTACAAGGTTTAAAGTCACCCAACTTCTTAAAATAAAATGTGATGTCTACCAACTATGAAGATTTTCGTACACGGCTCTTATCCAACAATCTGATCGGTTCAGTATTTAAATTTAAGGGCATCACGTGTTGATGTTCGTCAAAGTGGCTGCAAAATTCTCGCAGTTTCGACTTTCGGAATCTCAATCTCAATGCAACCATTGCATTAGTTACTTGTCCGGATGTCTCATAATAATCAGTTCACGCTGAGATCATCGTCAGTAAGAACGATCTGAAACTCCTACAATTCTGACTCGATTTTAACATGGACGTAATAAAATGCTGTTAAGTCTGAGAAGTCTCCCTTTCCTACCAAAGATGCAATTTGTTTAACTTATCTAATCAAGAGGAGCAAGTTCCTCTAAAATGATTAAAAAATACAACAACTCATCCAAAAGTTTTAAAAAGCTTATTAGTCATTTTGAAAGTATACAGTCCCAAAAGGGCTTTTTTTTTCGTACTGTTTTTGATAGTCAAATTTGCCTCGGAAATACAGAAAAAAATTACCATATTTTTAGGTTCTGACATAGCTGTATTTGATTGCTTGATTTGATGTACATTGGCCTGGTTTTGATATAATCTTTTCTCTCACATTATAAACTGTATTCCTCAGTTTGGTAACTCAATCTTATAATACAGGTCAATTCTCTCATAATGCATTTGCTATTGGTACCATTTGGTTGCGGCTATCATCATCCCTCCTTACTACTGCCCTATAAAACTCTACCGAGATTTTGGACGGAAGTGAGGGTATTCTCCAGATAATTTGCAGAAACTCCGGCCAGGATTTTCGCCATCGAGCTAGCTTTGGCCAGAGATGGATTAGAAGACGACACTAAAGTTAGCAGTGTCAGTAGATTTGCTCCGGACCATCAGCGAAAGTGTTGACTTTCACCAACCATCTACAATGAACCTGTTTAATTTAGAAAACCTGACAACTTTAAACAGACTGCAACAGGACTCGAGTCAAAGGAAGAAAAATCGTGTGCAACATGGTACCTTGGCATGAACTTGAATCCAAAAGATGGTCACATCATGGAATACGATGAGGGAATGGGCGGATGATGATGAGTTTAAAACTTTGGACCAATCTCTGTCTCAAAAATTCAAAGATTTAAAGATATGGACCCTGGCAGAGACATAGTGAC